CCCCCCCCCCCCCCCCCCCCCCCCCCGCCAGATCCTTTATAGATGCCTGGCTCCCCTCCAAGGCCTCGAGGCTTTGGCGGCTCTGGAGGACAGAACATGGCCAGGGAACCTGACAAGGCACTGACACGAGCGACCCTGGTGGTGCTGGCCACCCTGGGCACAGCTGTGATTGCGACCACGAACCCCGGCGTTGTGGCCAGGATCACCCAGAAAGGCCTGGACTACGGTAATCAGACGCCTTCCTTCCCTCCTCTCCTGCCCCTAAGGAGCACTTATCGAGCACCTCCTGTGTGCAGTCCTTTAACTCCAGTGCATGGCCTGCTCACAGCTCCTCAAAGGAGGCCCTCTGACCCCTGTCATGTATATGAAGAAACCGAGGCAAGGTGAGTGGCCCAAGGTCACAGAGCTGCAAGGTGGCAGGCAGGGTTGGGATTGGAGTGCCGATCTGGAGGACTCCATGTCCAGTGCTCAGGCCCCTGAGGGTCCTCATGGTCTCCTCCCTCTCTCTACCCAACTGCCAGCTCAGGCTTCTAGGCCCTTCTCTTCCCCCCAAAGCTGATTCTCAGTCTTGAGATTGAGTTTTGCCTTGAGATTCCTGGCTCCATCTTCAGCGTGGGCAGAGCCCAGGCCCTGTGAGGAGGTTAAGTGACGGGGACGGGGGAGGAGGGCCCTTCTTCACGGTCTCCCCCCAGGGCAGGGGCTTGGCAGCCACACTGCGCACGTTACCCATCTGGATGTACCAGAGAGGGTCCCCCCAGGCCATTCATCCGGGTCCAGACAGAGGAAAGAGTGGCATAAAACAGCCCCTGCCGCTCCCACTCTGTGCCGGTCATTTCATCTTTATTTCAACCCTGGGTAGGACATACCCGTCACCAGCAACATCCACAGATGAGCAAACTGAAGCTTGGAGGAGGCACTAGGGAAGTGCGCGCCTAGATCTCGCCACCAGTCTTGGCTCACGCCCCCCACCTTCCCCGCGCGGGGCTGCTCGACGCTGCCCCCCAGTGGCAGAGAGATGAACTGTGGAACAGTGCGGGAGATCCAGGCGCGCAGAGGTCAGAACAAGGAGAAGGCAGACCCTCATGGGCTGGCCTGCGGCTGAGGGAACGGGGACAGAACTCAGGGGGACCTGGCACCCCACCCCCGAATTCCTTCCCCAACCCAGGCAGGACATCTCTGAATCCCAGGTGCAGGCAGAAGGCTCCACGTGAGCTCGGAGACAAGAGTACGGGGTGGCCTTGAAGGCTTCCTGGGAGCAGAGGCCTGGGCTCAGCTTTTAAACCCAGAAGTCTTCGTGTTCTGTCACAGCAGACTCAGTTTCCCCATGTGGCAACCACAGTGGGTGTCCTGAAATATGGCAAATCTGCTCATGTCCCTGCCTTCAGAAGATGTCCTGATCCTTTAGCATGGCATTTGAGATCCTTTAAGACCTGGCCCAGTGCACGGGCTCCGGGACCGGAAGGGTCAGGATTTGAAGGGTCATCACTTGTCAGCTGTGTGGCCACTTTCCCAAATTTCCTCCTCCTCACCTGTGACTTGGGGGTGGTGACAGGACCTCCTCCCGGGGGTTTTCAGATTCAATAGCTTAATACGTGTACAGAGCTCAGATCAGTGCCTGGCACAGAATAAGAGTAAATGTGGGGGGAGACGTCATTTCCACTGGCTGTTGGAAAACACAAAGCCTGGGATCCCTCTTCTTACCACTTCCTCCTTCTCAAGTAACATGTCTGCCTTTCGACGGGTCCTTGGACGCCGTTAGCCACCTAACTGATGGCAGGATTCCTGACTTTGGGCGTTCGTTCATTTATTCACCCAATATTAAGTGCCTTCTAATAGTAAGTGCCGATCACTACGGTAAATGGAGGGGCCACGTTCATCAACAAAACGGATGTGGCCGCTGCGAGCCTTGAAGGGTTCCTGTCTAGCAGTTGGGAGAGGTGGTAACCACAGCGTCACATGCATAGATGTACAATTACAAACAGTCATGCCCGTGGCATCACGAGAATGATAACAAGGAGGATTGCTTTCGTCTCCTGGGTCAGAGAAGGTTCCCGGAGGAAGTGAGGATGGAGCGGACCAGAAGTTAACCAGGTGAAGGTGGGAGGGAAGGGTTTCCTAGGCAGCAGAAATGGCACAAGCAAAGGTCCTGTGGAGAGAGGCCAAAGGTTAGAGAGATGGAGTGTTTGCGAGGGCACAGCACAGAGCGAGGTGCAGAGTAGGTGTTCCGTGAATACTCATAGAATGCATGACTGGGTGTTTGGGGTGATATTTTATTTTATTAAAAATGTTTTTTAACGTTTATTATTTTTGAGAGAGAGAGAATGACAGCGCGTAAGCAGGGGAGAGGCAGAGAGAGAGGGAGACCGAATCCAAAGCAAGGCTCCAGGCTGTGAGCACAGAGCCCCACACCGGACTCGAACCCATGAACCATGAGATCATGACCTGACTGAGCCACCCCGGTGCCCCTTGGGGTGATATTTTAGACCAGGGATTGGCAAACGACAGTCCTCGGGCCAAATTTGGCTGGCCACATGTTTTTGCATGGCCCGTGAACAAACAATGGCTTTTACATTTTACATTTTTAAGTGATTGAAAAAAAGTCAAAGAATAATATGTGGAAGTTATCTGGAATTCAAATCTCAGTGTCCGTAAAAGAAGTTTTAAAGTTTTATTGGAACACAGCCACACCCATTCGCTTACTTATCGTCTGTGGCTGCTTTCGTGCAATCGCAGCAGAGCTGAGTGGTTGTGACAGAGACCGCGTGAGCCACAAACCCAAAAATATTTACTATCTGACCTTTACAGAAAACCCTAGCCGACCCCTGATATGGACAGGGACAGGCTGTGCCTCTGACTGTCACCCCTTTTCTCGCCCCTCAGCCTGCCAGCAAGGAGTGGCTGTGCTGCAAAAGGAGCTGGAGAAGATCACCATCCCCACCTTCTCAGGAAGCTTCAAGATCAAGCATCTTGGGAAAGGGCATTATAGCTTCCACAGGTGAGGCCTGTCGAACTCAACCCTCCGTGTACAGAACTTGTAGTGTCCCGGGGCCACCAAGACCTAGAATCACAGAGCCACAAACTCCTAAACTCAGAGAGGTTAAGACTCCCAGTCTAGCGTTGACCCCACCCCGAGGGGATATAGTCCCCCAAGCTGAGTGTAGAGGAGGCCACCGAAGGTGCTCACCATGACTCCCAAGGCAGGCGGAATGTGTCACGAACCCCAAAACTCTGTGCCAGGCCCATATAGCAAGCAGGATTTGGAGGAGGGGGTTCAAGAGCAGAAAGTTTAATCTAAAATGGCTCAAACCAGAATTTATTGGCTCACGTGTCTGAGAAGTCTCTGGAGTAGTCTGGCCTCAGGTTCAGCTTGAGGTAGCCCCAAATGACATTGGCCCCTGTTTTCTCCTTGCCACTTCTCAGCATCGCTTCTCTTGAGGAGGTCCAATTCTCAGGTGGGGTGTCCCCTCAGAGATGCAAGATGGCGACCGGCATCTCCTCGGCACTCCGAATCCTGTGGAAGGAGAGCACTTTCCCCTTGAATCTCAAGCAAAAACACTAAGATTCTCACTCTGATCGTCCCACCTTAGGTTACGTACACGTCTCTGAACCAATCACCGTGGCCAGGGGATACCCTACACTAACTAGCTCACGCCCAAGTCAAAAGCTCCACCCTGTGAACATGGAAAGTCAACTTCCTTTGCAGTGACATGGAGTAGCTGTGTGGAGCCCCAAAGGAAAAAGGAAGTTCTGTTACCACAAGAAGGGAGTGTGGGTGCCGGGCAGAAAACCCATAAATGTCCACTACAGAATTTTATACACCTATTCACTCAACAGATATTTTTGAGCACCTTCTATGTGTCTGACACAACAGGCTTGGCTACAACAGTGAACCAAGAGAAACACATTCCACCCTTTCATAGAACTTGCAGTCAGGCGAGATTACACCTGTTATCCTCGTTGATGGTCACACTTCCCGCAAGATGGAGGTTATTGTGCCCAGAAAACTGAGCCTCAGGATGATCAAGTGACATACTCAGGGTCACACAACAGTACACTGAGGAGCGGGGTTCACATGCAGATTTGTCTGACGTTAAAGCCTGCCACTCTGCCCAATGCCCACAGAGTTTCCAAGGTGGTTTTCGTAGTTTCCGGGTTCTTCTGCAGTGGATGTGGTGAAGGGCTGGGGGTGGGATGAGTCTGCACTAACCATTAACTGAGTTCTTGTGTGGGCCCCCAGGAGGCTAACTGAGCATTTCTTCTTCACAGCATGGCTATCCGTGGATTCCAGCTTCCCAGTTCCCAGATAAAACTAGCTCCCAGTGAGGGCCTCGATCTCTCCATCGCAAACGCCAACGTCAAGATGAGTGGAAAATGGAAGGCACGAAAGAACTTCATGTGCGTTTCCAACCTTGGTGTTGACTGAGTGTGTGGGTGAGCTTTAGGTGATACTTGGAAGGGGTAAGGGCCAGGACCTCAGGAACACTCAATTTTTGCCTTACCCATCACCACTTGTGCCCACAGGGCTCCTGGGGGGGATTTTTCATGTGTGAAAATTCAACATAGCCCCTGGTTAATAGCTGAGCATTTGTCCGTGTCACAACGCAAGACATTGACAAGATTGAGTTTGGTACGTGAAGCGTAGGATGGAAGGCTAAGCGGGACCTATAATTTACCCCTTTATCAGTTACCTATGGCCGTGTAACAAAACACCCCAACTCAGCTGCTGAAAACAATAGTCATATATTATCACTATGTATCTGTGTGTTAGCTGGGGTTCCGCTGATCTGGGATGGGCTCAGCTGAGGCAGCCCTTCTCCACACGTATCTCTTCGTCCTCCTCCTTAGACCTGTGGGCTACTCAAAGCATGTCCTCGGTGGTGGCAGACATGCGAAAAGGGCAACCAGAAACATTCTAAGGTCTAGAATTAGCCCGTGGTCACTTCTACTCCCTTTTACTCACTTACGCCATTGGCCAAAGTAAGTCACGTGGCCAAGCCCAAAGGCAAGAGCCTGGAAGTGCATGCACCTCCCCCCCCAAGATAGGCAAAGGAATGGAAAATTGGGGCAAATCATCCAAACCACAACTCTGAATCGAAATACTGGGTTCTCACCACGGTGAGCCTGCCCTCTAGGGGTGGCGACTCAGAACGACCAATCACTTCAGCGACTTTGTGGCGATTCCAGGGGGATCACGGAGGAGAAGACACTTTGGGGAGAGGGACGTGAGTCTGCCTTCCTGTCCCTTCCCCACAGTAAACATCGCTTAGTTCTTCGCGTGGGCTCTTTTGCATCTATCATTTCACTTGCTGATGGCACAAAAGGTAACAGTACTTCATTATGTTAAAGGAGAGTTGGCAAACACACTCACGTCCACCGTCTTACCCCAACCAAACTCGTTCCATCCCTGAAGGAGGAGCTATTGACCCCCTTTCATGAATGAGGACATTAATTGGTGAAAGTCTCCAAACATGCAGATTCTTAGGGACAAAGCCGGTGATCAACGGCCGGTCAAGGGTCTGGGCGAGGAAACTGGAAATCAGAGCAGTTGAGAAACATACCCAAAGCTACTCAGCAAGGGCAGAGGCAAGGGGAGAGAGCAGCGTTCTGCCAGGCAGACACAGATCCACGCGTCCCTCCGTGCTGTGTGACCTCGGGCAGGCGGCCTCCCCTCTCTGAATTCCATCTCAAGCAGCAAAACCTACCTTCCGGCCCAGGCTTGAAGTTTGAATGGCACTAGGGAAGAAACTGCTTGCGCTGACTCTTTGATCTGTGTTTCCCTTCAGCAAAACCAGCGGCAACTTTGACCTGAGCGTGGAGGGCGTCTCCATCTCGGCCGTTCTGAAGCTGGGCTTTGACCCCGCTTCCGGCCACTGCACCGTCTCCTGTTCCAGATGCAGCAACCACATCAACAGTGTCCGTGTGCACATCTCAGGCAGCAGCCTGGGGTATGGTCTCCTAGGGCCGCGGGCGGGAGGAGAGACCTTAAGAAACACTGCCCTGCATTCAGAGAACATCCCAAGTGCACCTCTTGCCAGGCCTTGTTCAGAGGCCTCCGTTGTAGGGGAGGGGCAGGGTCCGCAGACAGCACAGAGACCGCCCCCACCTCCAGGAGTCACTTGGTCACCCGACATTCATTCAACAGACTTTCCTGAGCCCTGACTATGCCCCGGGCTCTGGCTAACCCCTTGACGTGTGTTGAACCGCACAACCCTCACCACAGATCTGTAGGCGTTGATTCACCCATTCAACAAATGTCCACTGAGAATCTGCTGTGCACCAGGAAACAGCAGTGGCCGATAAAGACTTAGCAATAGCGAACATCAGCGGGACGTCAGCTAGCATTACCGTGAGCCAAGCGTGCTTTTCAGCTTGTGAATTGTCTCAGTCGAGCCGCACGGTGAAGTTAGTCCGTCATGGCCCCCGTTTTCAGAAGGGAAAACCAAGGCAGAGAGGGGATAGAAAAGAGCCTGAGTTTTCATACCTCGTGGGTGTTGAAGAGGGATTCAGCCCACGGCTATCCGGCCCCAGACTCCGAGCCACTCAGCCCCTGTTCTCTTGAAGCTTCCGACCCACTGGAGGAGATAGACATTCATCAAATCATTGCATTAATGAATGATTCACAAAGGATCACAAAAGAATGTAAGAATTAAGAAAAAGAGGTACAAAGTGCTATGAGCACATAGAACGGAAGGGTCTGACCCAGTCTGAGGGCTGGCTGCTTCTTCCTTGATGAAATGACATTCGAATTGAAATGAAAAGAATAAGTGGGAGTTAATTAGGCAGATGTGGGGGACAGGGGCCGGAACAGCATGTGCAAAGGCCTTGTGGTGGGAGGCAGCATAGAACACAGGAGGATACTGCAGAGCAGTGCGGCTGGAGTGTCAAGGGGGAGGGCAGCAGCGACGAAAGAGGCTGAGACCGGGTGGGGCCCCAGCCGTGCACCAGCTGAGGAAACAAACTCATGAACAAGTCACTGCACCCCGAGGGCCAAGTATCTAATGGGGGTGTGCCCAGTTAAAGCCCGGGCACGAGGGTGCCTAGGTTACTTGAAGGAGGGAGGAAGGTGTCCCAGATGAGGCAGCCTCCAACGCAGCCCAGGGACACCTCGGAAGCCTCATGCCTGTCCCCACATGTCAATCTCCAGGTGGCTGATCAACCTCTTCCACAAAAAAATGGAGTCTTCGCTCCGAAACAGGATGACCAGCGAGGTAAGACGGGCTCAGGGTGGGCGGGGCCCTCAGTGCAGGCGTCGCTGGATCCTTCTGCTCTCGGACCAGAGGACTGGAAGCCGTCCTCATAGCTCTTTGAGACCTCCGGCTCGGCTCTAAAAACCAGTCGTGAGGAGTCCAGCAAGAGACTAAAACGAGGGTCACAGCACACACCCACAGAGCGTGCACTCGCCCCACGCCCTGCCTGGACCTCCTCTGCTCTTCCCCCTGCCTTCCTCCCGCAGGCAAACGTCCTTCTCCCAGCTCTCTGGCCTCCTCCCCCATCCCTGCCATTCCCCAATCCCCCCTCTTGGTGCTCCCCACCCGGAAACCACACGATTGATGAAGCTGCTAGTCTAGCGTGCCAGCAAAGTATCCCCTGGGGCTGGAACAGAAAAGGGCCACTGGCTAGCGTTCCCCAACCCTCCCTCGCCCTAAATCCACCCAGGCCAGCTTCTTCGGCTGAGAAAAGGGGCCATTCATCCGGCTGGTTTTCCATGAATAAACCATTAGCTGCCAGGAATGCCCTGCGCCTGTCTCCCAGGCCAAGTGAGCCGAGGAAAGCGGGGAGCCACTGAAGATTTTAGGCAAGGGGGTGACCCGGCCAGATCTGTGCTTTGGAAGAGTTTCTGTGGCTGCTGTGAGAATGACTGGAGGAGCCAAAAGATGGGGCAGGGGACCTCAGGGAGCCCAAGGAAGCCGTACAGTCTTCTAGAGGGCCGCCACTGGGTTCTCGGTCAAAGGCACTGACAGTGGGGACAGGGAGACATCAGTCAGATCAGATCATTGGTCTGACGGCATTCTGTCCAAGTTGTAAAACAAAACAAAACAAAAGCAGTGCGTGGTTGTCAAAATGCATACCACAGCAGATTATAAAATGGGTTTTAGGGGCAGAATCCGGCCCCCGGGTCTAATTCGCTTTGCAACTTTGAGCAAATTTCAGATCCTCGGTTGGACCATCTGTAAAATGGGGACCTCAGTATCTCCTTGCACCCAGCTGCTCAGGCAATGCAGGCGGTGCGCTCACCCACCAGCCTGACTAACCCGTGGTTCAACTGTCCTTGTAATTAAGTCATAGTACAAGGGCAACGGCAGCATTTCACATTGGAACTATTAAAACAGAGTATTTCTTGGTGACACCTTCAGAGCGGCCCTCAGGAGCAGCCAGGTTAAAAAGTAATGATGCACCTGTTGTTAGACAACAACGGTGAGGAGGAGGAGGGGGAGGGGGGGAGAGGAAGGGGGAGGGGAGGGAAGGGGGAGGATATCTGCATACACAGAGTGCTTGCAGTGAAATTGGCCCTATGTCTCGAGCTCTCTACAAGGATCCCAGCATTTAATCCGCACAAAATCCTTATGCTAGGGGGTGTCATGGTTTTCTCCATTTTACCGATGGGTAAACTGAGGCTCAGAGGGGGAAGTGATGGGACTGGGGTTCAAACCCAGGCTATCCCCCCCCTCTGAGGTGAAGCTCTTGATCATAGCAAGATACTCTTTAGAAGACAGTACTGGCTTGAGTGGACAGACGGATGGATGGATGGATGGACGGATGGATGGATGGATGGATGGATAAACGAGGTACCAGGGTGTCCATGATCGTAGCAAGGGCTGGAAATGACGAGGAGTGAGCTGGGCAGTTAACTCCCGGGAATACAGAGTGAAGGGTGGGCATCTGAGGGAAGGAAGAGCCCCGGTCTACGCAAAGTGTGTGGGGGGCGGAGAGCAGGGGAGGACACAAGCAGCCGCTGGAAGCTGGGCTCTAGGCTGTGATGCGATTTGCTGTGGTTTGGAGCCATCTGGTGGCCCTCGTCGGGGAGTGGCACTGGAGGGCAGCAGCCCAGGGGCAGGCAGCCCCAGCTCCCAGATGTGCCACCCCACCCCCACCCCCTTCCCCAGACCACTCGCGGCAGAGGTACAGGCCCCTCAGAGGACGATATTCTAGGCGCGTGCAGAGTCTTGCGTGTGTGATAGAAACACTCAGGGCAACCAATTTTCTCCCTCCGCCACTTTCCTCCCTCCTACCCTCCCCCCTTCCTTCGAAGAAGCATTCGAAGAAAGCAAAACGTGCCCGGTTCCTCATTCCCGAAAGACATTTTCCGCCACGGGAAGCCCTCACTGGCCACTTCTTTGGTTCTCTCCAGATCTGCAAGGTGGTGACCAGTTCCGTGTCCTCCAAGCTGCAACGGTATTTAGAGACGCTGCCAGGTGAGTGCTGGGCGAGGTCAAGGAGACGGGGAGAGAAGGGGGAGGGGCACAGGAGAACAAGGAGAGTGTGATGGAGCCACCAGGTTTCCCAGACGGGCTTGGGTCTGGGTGGAAACGGGTAGAACGGACGATTTTCAACCGGCAGCTCGCATCGGACCCCAAATGGGCCAGGCCCTCGTGTCAGGTGCGAGAACCGCCCACGCCCATTCATTCCCCCACCGGTGCCAAGGTCAAATAACAAACAGTCCCAGCTCTCTGTGGTCGGGCCCTCATAGCTGCCCTGAGATCTGACGCTGGTCATTTCGTCTCTCTGGGCCCCGGTTTTCAAATCTTTAAAATGGGGACAATTCTCCATACCTCCCAGTAACTGAAGAGCTGCAGGTTGGGGGGCAGGCTCCCACTGGCTGAGTGCTTCCCATGTCCTCGCACCCAGAGGAACTGTCTCCTCTCAGCCTTCCAACGCCTCACGGAGGTCGGTGTAGTCTCCCAACTTTACCGCGAGGAAACTGAGGCTCAGAAAGGAACTGTGACTTGCCCGAGGTCGCAAAGCCAGAAAGAAGCAGAAGCAGGATCCTAATTGGGGTTTTCTTACTCCAGAGCCTGTACCCCAACCTGCTAGCCAGGCTCCCTCCCGGTGGAGCAGTCATGGCAGCCCATGGTGCGAGCCCATTCAAGATGATTCCTTCCCCAGGCACAGCCCCAGACCCTCCAGGGATGGGTCCTACCTGGGCATGTTCAGTGCAATGACACTGACCACGGTTTGGCCTCAGCAGGCAGGAAAATGACTTTGGTCTGAGTCCCAGCTCCATCACTCTCCAGCTGTGCCATCTTGGAGGAGTGACATCTCCGAGCCCCATGTCTTCCCCTCTGATGTGGGAAGGAAGGGCTTAAGGAGGGACCGGCATTTATTTCATTCTCATTCATGACTGCTGGGAACCACACACACTGTTCAGACCTGAACCAACCTGGGCTCAGCCTGGGATATTATCACTGCTAGTAATGGTCCCTTTGGCTTTTGAGCCCCTCCCATGTCCAGGGCATCTGTGGGGTCACCAGTACTGCCCCGTTCTACACGTGACAAAAAGTGGCTTAGAGTAGTGAAAGCAACTTGTCCAAGGTCAGGTAGAGTTCAATTCAAGCCCAGGTCTCTCTGCTTCTTGACCCCTGTGTTTTAGCTACATCTCAGGGCTATGGAAGCAGGGGAAGAGATAATGTCTGTTTGTGTAGGGTGGGGGTTCATTTTCCCTTAAAGGGAGCCCAGGGAGGGCTCCGTGGAGGAGGTGGGAATGGAACCTGCACTGCAGTTCCTTGCCGTTCAACTCTAGCAGATGCCAACACTGCATCTCAGGCCCTAAAGATGCTGCCAGGGGAGGCAGCTCATGGCTCATCTTCTTCCCGTCTAGTGACAACTCGAATAGATCATGTCGCTGGGATCAATTACTCACTGGTGGCACCTCCAACAGCCACGACTGACAGCCTGGATGGGCAGCTGAAGGTGAGACTTACACTGGGGAACTTATACCCTCATGCCTTTGCCACAGGCCCTCCTGGGGCTCCCCAACATCCTAATCTCGGCATCTTCTCCCTGCTCTGGTCTCACTGGCTGGCCTCCCGCTATTCCTGAACCACTCTATCCCTGCTCGCTCCCTAGGGCCTTTGCACCTGCTCCCTCTCTGCCCAGAATGCTCTCACCCAGATATTCACATAAACTCTCCCTTCTTTTTAAGTCTTCACTTAAATATCCCTCCCACTAAAGCCCACTCCCACTGAAATAGCTCCTTCTCCCCCCCCCATATCCTGATTTATTTTTCTCAACATCACATATTATTAACAACCCCCCAACACACACACACACACACACACACACACACACACACACAGAGTCACATGTCTATCTCCCTCACTATGATGAAAGAGGAGGAACTATAGCTGCTTTGTTCCTGACTGTAGGTGCACACCCAGAACCATGCTTGGTATCTATTAGCTGCTCAGTAAATACTCTGCTTGGACAGACAAATGGATGGATGGATGGATGGATGGATGGATGGTGGATAGATGGAGTATCATTTCATGCTACTTTCCCCCCACTCACCACCCTCCAACCAGGCACATGGGCTTTGCACTTTCTCAACACACCAAGCTCGTTCCCACCTCAGAGCCTTTGTCTTACCCATCCCCTCTGCCTGAACTGCCTTCCCTCGCATGCCCCCCTCTACCCACTGGCTTCTTCTACTCCAGGTGAGTCTGTGCTTGGATGTCACTCCCAAAGCAGCCTTCCCTGACCACCCCAGCTGGAGTGGGTCCCACCCTTGAATTCCCTCTGGATGTACTTCATTCAGTCCCTCCACGATTGGTGATTGGCTTGTTTACTGTTTACTTGTTTGTTCTAAAATACATTTGATACAAAAAAGGAAAGTTAGAAACGACAGAGAAGCAGAGCAGAGAAATAAATAAATAGGAAGGAAAGGAGGAAGGAAGGGAGGAGAGGGAGAGAGATTACCCAAATATTACAACTCAGAGGCTAAAATTAACAATTCAGGAAACAACAGATGTTGACAAGGATGGGGAGAAATGGGAATCCTCTTGCACTGTTGGTAGGAATGCAAACTGGTGTAGCCACTCTGGAAAACAGTGTGGAGGTTTCTCAAAAAATTATAAATAGAACTACCCTACAACCCAGCAATAGCACTCCTAGGAATTCTTCCAAAGGACACAGGAGTGCTGATCCGAAGGGGCACATGTACCCCGATATTTATAGCAGTGCTCTTAACAATAACCAAATTATGGAAAGAGCCCAAATGTCCACCAACTGACGAATGGATAAAGAAGATGTGGTTTATATATGCAATGGAATACTCCTTGGCAATGAGAAAGAATGAAATCCTGCCATTTGCAACAACATGGATGGAACTGGAGGGTATTATGCTGAGTGAAATAAGTCAGTCAGAGAAAGACAGATACCATATGTTTTCTCTCATATGTGGAACTTGAGAAACTTACCAGAAGACCATGGGGGAAGGGAAGGGGAGAAAAGAGTTACAGAGAGGGAGGGAGGCAAACCATAAATAAGAGACTCTTAAATACAGACAATAAACTGAGGGTTGATGGGGGGAGGCAGGGAGAGAGGTGAAAAAGGGTGATGGGCATTGAGGACAAGGGCACTTGTTGGGATGAGCACTGGGTGTTGTATGTAAGTGAGGAATCATGGGAATCTGCCCCCGAAACCAAGAGCTCACTGTATACACTAACCAGAACTGCCGTGAACATCCTTGTATCTGGGTCTCTGCCCATCCTTGGCTATCTCCTAGAAGTGGCATTGCTGGACCAAATAGTATACTTTAAAAAAACAATCTAAGTGGTACGATGGAATAAAGGTTGAGAATAACCTGTTTATTGACCACCCCCCCCCGGGCTCCTGCCCACAGGTCATGGCTGTGAGGCTCAGGGTGTGTTATATGTGAATCTCCGGGCTCCCTGGTTCTAAACATTCACATAAATGCAAGCCCATCCGGTTTTGCTGGTAATCTGTTTGCATGAATGGATACATATCATCTTTTCACTTGCTCTTCTCGCTTAAAAATCTGCATTAGAGTTGGCACATGGGTCCACTTATTTATTTATTTTGAGAGAGAGAGAGAGAGAGAAAGTGAGCACATGCATGTGAGCAGGGGAGGGGCAGAGAGAGAGAGAGAGAGAGAAAGAATCCCAAGCAGGCTCAACGCTGTCAGTGCAAAGCCTGATGTGGGGCTCAAACTCACAAACCATGAGATCATGACCTGAGCCGAAATCAAGAGTCGGATGCTTAACCGACTGAGCTACCCAGGCGCCCCTCACTTATTTATTATTTTAAAGAGTTGCATGGTATTCTGTAAGATAGGTGAAAGGGTGGTTAATTTTTTATGACGAAATGATTCAAAGATACAGAGAAGATTACACACTGACGTACCTACCACCGAGCTTTAAGAAATGTTACCATTAAGGGGCGCCTGGGGGGCTCAGTCGGTTGAGCGTCCGACTTCGGCTCAGGTCATGATCTCACAGTTCATGAGTTCAGGCCCCACGTCGGCCTCTGTGCTGACAGCTCGGAGCCTGGAGCCTGCTTCAGGTTCCGTGTCTCCCTCTCCCTCTGCACGTCCTCTGTTCACACTCTGTCTCTCTCAAAAATGAATACACATTAAAAAAGAGAGAGAGAGAAAGAAAAAAGGAAAAAAAAGAAATGTTACCATTTTGCTATATTTGCCTCTGATTTTTTTCTTTGAAACATTCGAAAAATAAACACTGAGGCTTCCTTGGGCACCCGTACCCCGCAGGGAACCCACACGGATAAGACGCCCGTGTGTATCCTTCTTACCTGTGGTGTTTACACTTTTACTGCTTACCTATGTGTCGATAATTCTTAAATAGCACGTTTTATATGCCTTTAAATTTTACATAAATGGTTTTCTACCATATGTATCCATCTACAACTCACTCTTTTATAACTCAGCATTGGGTTTTTTTAGCTAAATAAATGATCTGCTTTGGCAACGTGTGGCCAAGTCGCTCTTCAGAAACTTATAAACATATATTCCCCCACAGCATCTGAACACTCTCCCCCAAACCTGGATGGTGTGAGCTTGAAATATGCATACACTTAAAACAGTTTACCTCTCCCTTTAACATTTTGCTAATTTGACAGATGAAAGCCAACAAACAGAACCTCGCTGTTCTTCTGGTAGAATTTCCGTGCTTGTTGGCAAGGTTGAAGCTGGGCCGATGGAGTGGCCGGGAGGTTGGGAGTGTCGCACGAGCGGCCTCAGGCAAGCCTCTTCGGCTCCCGGGGCCTCAGTATGCTTTCCTGCAAAATGGGCATAATCACATCCCCCTCGCAGGACTGGCAGGAAGAGCCCCTAGAAACTAGCACCGAGGAGGCGTAGGACATTCTTGTTAGTTTCTGCCATGGCTTCCTCCTCTGTGAGTGCGTGATTGGTACCCCCAGCCCATTTTCTCCTGGAATGAAGACGTTGAATTATAATTCCTGAAGGAAGCCCGGGCTCACCCTGTCGCCTCCGCCCCCAGGGGGAGTTTTTCAGGTGGGCCCACCCCAGTCCCCCTCCCTTTGCCCCTCCGCCACTGGCCTTTCCCAGCGACCACGACCGCATGGTGTACCTGGGCATCTCCAACTACTTCTTCAACACAGCGGGATTCGTGTACCAACAGGCCGGGGTCCTGAACCTGACCGTCACGGACAACGTGGTAAGGCCAGGCTGGGGGTGGATGCGGGAAGAGCACGGGGCTCGAAGCACAGCAGGCCCGGCTGGACTTGAACTTGTGTTTACACGGGGGAGATCACAGTCCAGCCTCTAGTGGCAGCCAGACCTGAGTTGGAATGTCAGCCCCCTCTTTTCTAGCTGGGTGACCTCAGAGCAGTAGGTCAACCTCTCAAAGCACTCAGCACGGGCTTAGCACGTAGGAAGTCCTGGACGAGGATAAAAGTTACAGCCAACACCGCCCTTGCCCTCGCCCTTGCCCTGATCCAGTCTTAGCCTCAAACCACCATTATCATCAGCCTCAGTGTCTCTACCGATATATTCAAAGCCGAGTCCTGCTCTGGGCCTCAGCTCACTCATCTGTAAAATGAGGAAATAACCATCCTGTCCAGAGTCCAGGTGCAACCAGGTCACCAACCATGTGTCCCCTGGGAAGATAAACACCTCCCGAATGCGAACTCTTCCGGGTGAGAGAGTCAGCCACCAACACCCGCATTTAGCAGAGACTCAAACACACGCAGAGGAGGGGGAACTTGATGGCTTTATACCTTTACAAGTGTGCTCCTAAGAGAGTTTTGGCACGGGGAAGCTGGAGGTGAGCTGAGAGAAGCTGGGCATCCCATGTGATTGGTTTGGAGAGCCTATCCGAGTTTTTCAGGAGAAAAAAAAAAAAGGCGGAAGCTGGCAGTCCAGGCTGTTCCAGGCTGATTGCTGCAGAAGTTGGGGGTCCCCATTCTATTGTCACGTGTAGACTGGCTGTTGTGCATTTGTGGATTCAGTCTCTCACCCCTCCTACGGACCCCCCCCCCAATCTGTAACATAATCCCACAAGATCTTTTTCTCTTCTTTTCTTGCTACAGATACCAAAGGAATCCAAATTCCGACTGACAACCGATGTTTTTGGAATCTTCATCCCCCAGGTAAGAAAGAGTCTGTTCCCCTTTGGTCCACTCATGAGGCATCCTGGGGGTACCGGGGAGTACTAAGCTTTGCCGAATGGCCTGATGAGAGCCCCCCTCTCCAGATCTAGAGACAACCCAGCCTGGGAGTGGAAGTAGCCTTGTGTAGTCCGTCCTCAATGCAGAGAAAGGCTCCGAGCACCCAGGTGACCAGGCGCGAGGGTAGACACTGGGGGCTTTTCCATGCAACAAATATTTATTGGGGGCTCACCATGTGCCCAGGGCCCTGTTCTTGGCGTCTAGCAAAGCAGACCATCTCCCTGCCCTCCTGGAGCTCCAGTCCAGTGAAGAGAGAAAATTCTTATTCAGGTACCCCAAACAAATAAGAAAATGCACGCCAAGATAAATGAAGCCAACAGATGGATGAGGTCACTTTAGACGAGGACCTCTGTCTCAGCCTGCTCAGGCTGCTATAACAAAGTGCCACGGACTGGTGGCTGACACAACAGAAATAAATTTCTCATGGTTCTGGAGGCCAAGAAGTCTAAGATCAAGGTACCCACACATTTGGGTTTGGGGGAGAGCCTCTTTTGGGCTAATAGATGGCTGCCTTCTTGGGGCGCCTGGGTGGCTCAGTCGGTTGAGCGTCCGACTTCAGCTCAGGTCATGATCTCACAGCTCGTGAGTTCGAGCCCCGCGTCGGGCTCGGTGCCGACAGCTCAGAGCCTGGAGCCTGCTTCCGGTTCTGTGTCTCCCTCTCCCTCTGCCCCTCCCCTGCTTGCGCTCTGTCTCTCTCTAAAATAAATAAACGTCAAAAAAATGTTTTAATAGATGGCTGCCTCCTTGCTGTGTCCTCACATGGCCTTTCCTCTGAGCAAGCAAGCTCTGGTGTCTCTTCTTACGAGGACACTCATCCTGTTGGATTAGGGCCCCACCCTTATGACCTCGCTGAATCTTAATTTCTTCCTTAGGGCTTCATCTCCAGCTACAGCCATACAGGGGGTTAGGGCTTCAACGCATGAGTTTCGGGGGACACAAACATTCCATCCATAACAGCCTCTCCAGTGGTGGCCCTTCCAGAAATTTCTATACAGGAGGTACCGGTGTGGGGAAGTGTGACTGGTAGGGGGACCAGGGGACTCCCCTTGAAGCTTTATGGCCTAACCGTGAATTGCCTGGGGGAGGGTTGGAAGCTAGGAGAGACGGGAGCAGTGTCACAAAGCCCTCCTCAGTTCCCCCAGGAAGCCACCACTGCTCTGTGACATTTGAGCTGACCCCTGAAGGAAGGGAAAGAGGCAAACTGGGAAAGAACGGGGAGGGGGGGGGGCATTAGCATTCAGCAGGGGAACTTGGACAGGAACGGAGTGGGTCAATATTTGAGGAACAGAGAGGAGTCCCGTATGGCTGGAGCTGGAGAGCAGGGACTGGGGCCCATGGGGTGAGGTCGTGGACACCAAGTGCAGAGAGTGCAATCTTTCCAACAGCAATGGGAAGGGGTACCTGAGGGGCTCAGTCGGCTATGCATCCAACCCTTGATTTCGGCTCAGGTCATGATCTCATGAGTCGTGGGATCGAGACCCATGACGGGCCGTGCATGGAGCTTGGAGCTGTTTGGGATTCTCTCTCTCCCTCTCTCTCTCTCTCTGCCTCTCTCGCTCTCTCGCTCTCTCTCTCTCTCTCAAAAATAAATAAATAAATGAACAAATAAATAAACAAACTTTTTTTTATTAAAAACAATGAGAATACGTTGGAGGCGTTTATGCAGGGCCAACACAAGATAGGATTTAGAAACAGTTTAATAAAATCGTCATTTTGTTTGTTGTCCCCACTGGGGACTGCAGGTGGCCAAGATGTTCCCCAACATGAAGGTGCAGCTCGTCTTCTGGGCCTCCTCCCCGCCACACCTCACCGTGCACCCCGAAGGCCTTGTCCTCGCCCCTACCCTGGATGCCCAGGCCTTTGCTGTCCTCCCGAACTCCTCCTTGGCCCCCCTGTTCGTGCTTCGCCTGGTAAGCGGTTCGCAGGTGTGGGCAGACGAGGACAGCGCCCTGGGAGTTGGGGGACCAGGGTGCACCTGCCCAGGTTCAGACGCTCCAGGGTCTGAGACCAGAGCCACGGTACTAACTGTTTCTGGCTTCTGCGGGCATTCATACATTCAACTCTTCATTCTGTCGCTGCCTTGAAATACGTGTACCGTTTCAGATTCATTCGCTCGTATCTTTGGTCATTCAGTTATGCGTTTGTGTATTTGCTCATTCATTCAAGTATTCACTAGATTGCATTTCAAGTGAAATGCGCTAGACCTGTTCTGGTGCATACATGCATTAATCCGTTATTCATTTATTCATTTACTTAAACCTTTGTTCAATTAAACATTCATGTGTATATTTGTTCATCCATTCATCTTTTATTTGTTGACGCACATCTCTGTCGATGCCTTCATCTGCGTGTGTAAGCCCTTGCTCGTTCAAGTTTGGGTTCTATTGCTGGTGTGCGGGTTCATCCTCTCTCTGTCTCCCCATGAGCATTCGGTGGCACCCGCTGTGACCATGGAGGCGAAGGCCAGACCTTCTCCCCACCGGGGGGTGCTCACAGGCCTCAGGCAGGTCTGCCGTCTCTCAAGTCGAGACCCATTTCCCCATTTTGCCAATCAAATGGGCTCCCGGGGGGGGGGGGGTCGTCCCGGGTCTTACAGACAGTGGGCAGGAAAGCTGAGGCGGGGAGCTCGGTTTTCTGGCTTCGTCCGTATTTGTTGAATGAATGGATGAATGAATGAATGGATGGATGAATGAATATCTTGACATTAGGGCTGGCTTGGACTCCAGCCCCGAGGTCTGTCTCACCTAGCCTGTGAGAACGGCCTGAGAACTCAGGAATGGAATCCAAGAGTGGTAAGTGGTAAGTGGTTGACAATCCAGGACTCACCGACAGGCACGGAGCAAAAGGAAGAGCCCCTCCCCCTCGGGTTCTGCGTGGGCTCGGGGACCTCACTCTTCGGCTTGCTGCTTTGCAGAGCATGAACATTTCTGTGACGGTCGGAGCCACGCCTGACAGGCTTGTGGGACAGCTCAGTTTGAACAGGTAAGTGTGGGGACGACAGGAGTGGCTGCCCATCCGTTCTCGGGGCCCGTGGGCCAGCAGTGGCCCCACAACACCCCGAGCACGGTGTCGTTGCTTTCTTGTTCATCGGTGGCAATTAAGCCTCAAATGGTGCACAGCGGGCCCCATGGCCCTGTTTTACAGACAGTGAAACTGGTGTGCAGAGGGGAAGGGCCCCGCCCAAGGTCGTACACGTAGGTGACCGGTCATCTTGGTTTGCCCGCAGCCCCCCGCCGTTAGCACTGAAAGTCCTGCACCCTGGACGGCCCCTCCGTCCTGGGCAGACGCGTGGCTGGGCGATGCCAGCTGGTGCCTCCAACCCGCGCTGAGCCACGGCAGCGCCCAGCCACCCGCATCCCTGATCCGCCTTAGCGCTCGGAAAACCCACAGCGATTTCCTCCTACCCCATCCTTGGGACTTTGTCAGCCGCCTCGTGTTGGAAAAGCCCCAACAGAGGCGGCTGTGGCTCAGCGCGGGCTCTGGTGTTGAGGCCGCCCGCCCTCAAAGCGCAGCTCACCTTGCAAACACTGAACTCACCAAGGTCCCGTTGCCCTGGCTGCAGAAGAGGCCCAGTGATTTAGAAGAAACAAATAAGTAAGCCCAATAATTGTTCCTGGCCAGCAGCGCTGTAGGTGAGAATGAAATCAGGTATTCAAATGCGTCGAGGTATTGAGAACACAAGAAATCTAAATGCTCAGTAAGCAAGACAGAGAGAGGCACACGCGGAAAAGAGAAAAGACAGCAATGGGGAGAGACAGAGAAAGTCAGAAACAGAGACACATGGAGAGACTCTCAGAGAGAGATACACACAAAGTGGGGGGGGGAGAGACAGAGAGGGACAGACAGACAGATGATGGAGACGCATGATAAGAGAGAGACCGAGAGAGAGAGAGAGAGAGAGAGAGAGACAGAAGGGGGGAGAGAGAGAGAAGGACACACACACACAGCAGAGAGGGAGATCCTCAGAGAGCAGATGTGATGGCCCCAACCGCTAGACCTGCTGTCTGCCTCTTAATCACGCTCGCGCTGCTCGGATTGAGTCTTGACCTACATTCCTGCCCATTTCCGCCCTCTCTCCAGCACAGAGCTGTCCTTCTTAACCTTGAGACTGGCTCCTGAGGTTTACGCGCGGCTTATTTCTCCGGGCGTCATTCTGACAGGTGTTACTGCCTCAGATACATGTGGATTTAATTTTCCTTGAACGCCCGTGGGCCTCCCAAGTAGGGGAGCCGGAGAGGATACAGCTGGGTGAGGGCTGAACAGACTCTCAAACACGCGGGGCTGGGGTGCGAGAGTCCACAGGGCAGGGGTCCCGGGACTCCCACCTCTCGCCGAACAAGGGTGAGTTTGCAAGCTCCCCTTCTAGGGTATTCGAGACAAGAGCTCGGGCATCAGAGAGATTGGATTGAAATCCCACTTTGCTGATTGTTAGTTGTGAGACCTCGTAAGTTGCCTAGTGGCTCCGTCAGTTTCCTTATCTGTGACCTGCGAGTGTGATGGCCCTTGCCTCCTGGGGGCTCTATGATTTCCCATGGAGGATAGCACACAACATAGTGAGGGATGGAGGTTCAACAAGGAGCCACGTGGTCCCCCCCCTCTTTGATCACGGTTAAAATGTCATAAAGACTGTAAAGAGGGGACAGTTTATTGGTAATTGAGAAGTCTAAGGATTTCAGGCAAGGGTGGATCCCAGTGCTCGAATGATATCCTGAGGATTCTGACTCTCTCCATTTCTTGGTTCTGCTCTCCCCTACGCGCGCTCCATTTCACAGCAGGCTGTCACCAAGGGGCCACAAAAAATGGCCACCGGGAGCTCTCTTTTCCCGGAGGAAAGAAAACACCTCCTCCCCAATATTTCCAGAAGTCCTAGGGCCAACTCTTGTTGCACCAGCATGGGTCACAGGTCCCTCCTTCCAACAATCACGATGGCAGGGAAGGTGGACTCTGCCCTTTCGCCAGACTACCCCAGAGCTCAGGGCTAACAACGTAGGATACCCTAAGTACCCTAAAGAAACAATCAGCGGGCTGTGACCAGAGGAGGGGGAATGAATACTGGGTGGGACAACCAGACGGCATCCACCAGAGAGGGCCCCTTCTCCCCAGCAACTGGGCTCTAACACAGCTCAGGCAAGTGGTGGTCTGTTTCTTCCTCCCCTTCTCACAGGCTGCTCCTAGAACTGAAGCACTCAGACATCGGCCCCTTCTCGGTGAGTCTGAGGCCCTTGGTGGCTCCTTCCGTCCCCCTGATTTGGAGAGAACTGTCCTCAGGGGCCACCAGGGCTCATGGCATCCGGTGTGGAGGCCACCTGTCCGTTTGCATATAATTTGCATGTGACGTCACGGCAGGTGGAGCTTTGTGGGCCCACAGACCTAAGCTCCAATCACTGCTCCACACTTCCCCTCTCCGAACTTCCAACCTTCCCCCAAACCCAGGATAATCCTTCCTAATTGCGCGAAGAACAAAATGAGGGTGGGGTAGCAAGTCGCGGCGAGGGCTGAAGGCTAAACCATGTGATCAGGGAAAGCCTCTCTGAGGAGGTGATATCTGGGCTGAAAGAGCCAGCAAGGTAAAGAGCTACTGCAGGCAGAGGGAACAGCGGGAGCCAAGGCCCTGTGGTGAGAACAAGTTCCACATGTTTGGGTAATGGAGGGAAGCCTGCGTGGCTGGAGCGGAGCAAGTTGGGCGTGGGGGTACAGGAGGAGATGCGGCTTGAGAGGCAGGTGGGGCTGGCTCATCCAGGGCCTTCTGGCCTGGAGTAGATTGTGTTCAAAGGGCAGTGAGAAGCCGGTGGACTGTTCCACACAGGGGGCGGCCTGCTCTGGTTTGTAGCTTTATAAAAGATGCCCCTGGCTGGGGTGGGGGGGGCATGGATATGGGAGGACAAGAGCTGGCCCGGGTGGATCAGCAGGGAGACGGAGTGCATTTGTGGGTGAAGAAGGAGAAAAACGGTGGATTGGAGCCACGCTTTGGAAGTGGTGTGCGAGGCCGCGTGGTGAGAACTTTGATGTGGGTGGAGGGGGTGGGGAAGAATGAGTCCTCGCTTTTCGGCTTGAGCCGCTGGGTGAAGGGCGGAGTCATGTAGAGGTGGAGAAGGGCAGGTGGGAGGGGAGACAGTGGGTATCTCGCCAGCCTGCTAGATGATTCCACTACCTGCCATCACTGACCATCATTAAGCAGACTCACCCCTGCCCACCCCCCTCACTCCCTCTAGGGCACGGGAGTTGCCCAAGTAAATAGCAGCTTAGCACTCTTCACCAGCCACCTTGAATGAGCGTCGCCCTTGTGACTTCCAGTTGCCCTTGTGACTTCCATTAGAAGCCACGGCATGCTGATTTTGTCTTACACACGGCCCAATCTCCCAGGGGGCGTCCTGTTGAACCCCTGGAGAGCATTTTCTTGGATCCCTGAAATGCCTCCCAAGAGCCCCACCAAGTGGGTACCTTGGAAGCCACCTGGCCCTGACGTCAGACCATCCCAACATCCCTCCCCATTGGATGGAAATCCAGCCAGCCATTTCCACCCAAAAGGACTACAACGAACAGAAGGACCCAAAGTGTCCTCACTGTATTTTCACAGACTTACTGGTGCCAGGGTTTTGTGGGCCTGCTTCTTCCCAATATTTCCAGAATATTGGGAATATTCCAGATATACGGTGGCTTGACTCCGTCGGTAACCAACGTCTGCTTCTGCGTAAGATCAAAATTTAAAGTTCTCAGATTCATGGGAAGAAGGGCACCACATTTCATGAGCCCAGGGATTTACAGCCTGGAGAAGGAAACTCAGTTGCTCCCCAAACAAAAATGTCCATATTTACAAGCTGTAAATGTCACCGGGCAATCATCTTGAGGTGCCACATTACCTTTGAGTATTGTTTTACTATCGCAAAAGCAAAACATGTACGCTATAGAATAATCAGAACCTACAGGTGTGCAAACCAAAGAGAATAAAAGCCATTTCTATTCTTACCACTTAATCATTCGGAGTATATCCTACCTGACCTTTTGCTATGCATAGCCAACAACACAACAGAATTGTGTGGTTTCCATAGCCTGCTTTTCCTCACTCAAAAATATAACATGAATATCTCTGTGTGGACAATTAAATTTCTACGGTACTATTTTTAACAGTTGCATAGTATTTCCTAGAATCAAAGCCCCCCCGGGCCCCCTAGGAAATTTCCCCCATTTGTTAGACATTTCGAGCCCGATGCGGGGCTCGAACTCACGGACTGTGAGATCATGACCTGAGCCGACGTCGGATGCTCAACCGGCGGAGCCACCCGGGCGGGCACACACATTTTTAAGGCTTTTGCTGAACATTGCCAAACAGAGCCTCAGAAGGGTTGAACCAGTTTGCCCCGTAGCCGGCAGTGTCTGAGGTGATGCATTTTCTTACACAACGGTTTTCATGGTTAAATACTCTCTGATGACCTTCCTTTCCTCGGCCTGGTACCTTCCATCTAGAACACGCTTCACATCTGGAACCTTTGGGTGCAAAAGAGATCACTTGGGTGACCTGATTGGGCTGCGGAATCTGCCTGGCATCACCTGGGTCCCAGCTCGGAGGTTGCCCTGTCGGGGAGGGAGGCTGATGCCCGGGCGCCCTGACAAGGCTTCCGTCCTTCTGATTTGCAGGTTGAAGTGCTGCAGGCTCTCATGAACTATGTTGTACCCATTGCTGTGATTCCCAAGGTTAACGGTAAGGCGCTTTGGAGAAACGGTTGACTTTCAGTCCTAGGGGAGGCGGAGGGCGTTAAGTCCTACAGCCGCCTAACACCTGGCCCCAGTTATGGAGGCTGGAGGGTGGTCACTCAAAGGAACCTCACGTGGCATCTGACCCAGAAAAGGGGATGAAAAAAGGGGACCCCACGGGCTGAGCTCCTATCATGTGCTCACCCACCATTTCACCCAGTCTTTAAGACCGCCCCATGACATGCGGATTAGTAATCTCTCCAATTTTTGTGGGAAGAAATGGGAGATCCGAGAAGTCACAGGGGGCTGGTTGCAGGTCCCGGGGGAGGGTGAGAGATGAAGCTGGGATCTGATCCCAGCTCTGAAGCCAGAGCCCTCAGCCCCCGCCCACCTCTGGGAGAAGGGCCAGGGAAGAAGGGCTAACCTCGGCTAACGGCTTCCGCTCATCGCCCTGATAAAAGCCTAACCTTTGCAGAGCCAGGGACAAGAGAGCACATACCTCTCTTAGAGGACCACATACCACGGGACTAGAATAGTTAGAAATTGTCAATTAAGACAAAAGTTATGATACAGGCTACGACATCTCCCACCTTGGCAAATGTAGCTTCCTAATGATCTGGGAGGCCAGGTTTGAGTTTAGAAGTCTCCAGAGGCTCTCATCAGAATATGGTGGTATGGGGGGAGGGGTCCCGGGCTACCACCCGTCTCTAGTTTCATCCTAAACATCCAGGGGCTTCGTGTGCACACGGGTAGATACCCCCAGTCGCATGCCATGGGCTGTCTACCCCTCCCCCCCCCCCCCCCCAGCAAGCAGCCGCCCCTGACCTTGTACACCAGCATTGCCATCAACCTCGGGAGGGGGGTCTTGGGGAGGAGGTCTGCACGCATCCCGAATGTGGGCTAGGGGCTGACGGGGCGAGAAGGCAAGGCTCCGGGTCCCTGCGCGTGGTGAAGAGCGTCTCTGGGGCAGCCTACTTGTCCAGCCTACGAGTAGTGCCAGTCCCTACCCAGAGCCGGGGACGCTGGTTCAGGGAGGCCGCCCCCTCCCCTCCCCCCTGCTGACCTCCTCCTCCACGGCAGAGCGGCTGCAAGAAGGCTTCCCTCTCCCGATGCCCAGCAACGTCCAGCTCTTCAATCTGGTGCTTCAGTCTCACCAGGTAGGTCCGAAGGGCTCCTTCCGCCAAATGTCCCTCAACACCAGCAACCTGTTGCCACAAAGCTTCCCGCAGGCCAGCCCTGCAGCAAGCACCCTCTGCCCTTACAACACCCCGCGAGGTGGGGGACTGTTCACCCGCAGGGAAGAGGAAGGCTCAGAAAAGCCACGTGGCTATTCAGTGGAGTCCAAATTCAAAGCCAGGTCCCCCCTCCCCGCCCCCGCTTTGAACCACTGGCTTGGAAGCGTTCCCACGCTGTGTTCGGTAAAAACGGAGCTCACTTGGTGGCCACAGGGCCTCTTTTATAAGTGGATGTATTTAAATACTTGGCAAGTGGGTATCGCATGACTCCCTCGGCGGCCTGGCAACATTCTAGGCCTGGGGGAGAGGTGGGGGGTGGTGGTAAAAAGTGAGGTACCGAGAGGGGACTTAGTCCCAGAATGGAGACCTCCTTTTGTCTGTCCCCCAGCCAGACCCACAACAGCATCTGAGACTACTTAGGGATGCTTTCTTCTCCTCAAAGGCTCCCTCTCCCGA